TGATAACCGTCATATTTGTGTAAATTTACCGCCATGAATTTGTGTACGATTACCACGCGAGTGTTCCTTTTGGTACTTTTTACCAAAAACACATATTTGTGCGTTAACCCTCGCATGTGTGCGGCGTTTGCCAGCTTCTAATGTGTAGGGGGGGGGGGGGGGTCGGTTGGACCCCCCCCCCCTTGCCGTTTGGCCCCTGATCGAGCTAGAGCTTCGCGGAAAAAACGAGCGTGTTGCCCGTGACGAGAGGAAGCCGATGATACCCAATTTTAAGGTCCTAGGTCATTGGTTGACCTTCCAGGTCAGGTCAATGACCCAAAGTCGGGAAAATCGGGACCTGTTAGAAAGTCGTAAAGTGTGGCTGCTAAGGGTTTTTTTGGGGTGCTGATCACGAATATCGTGTTAGTTTTGATCACAGATGATGTCTTGAAGCATTTAGACCAGGTCGGGTCAGGTCAGGTCAGGTCAACCAGTAGGCGTCGTGACGGGTATTCGTAGTACGTGTCAACCGCCTCTGACAGCTTCGTAACATGTTACGAAGTCACCAAAACTACTTCGTAAATGTTCAAATGGTTGCTAAATTCGAATTCAGCTCCAAAAACTAGCCTAGAAACATGTAAAACTCGAAAAAGTGACCCGAGGTCACCCGAGGTCACCAAAGGTCAATGACCTGATCTGACCTTCAGGTGACCTTGACACACACGGGAGTAACATCAAATCACATGTTGGAACGTTTGAAACCACGAAAAGCTTGCAAACACGCGGCTAGTGCGAGCCAACATACGCGAAATCGCGATTCCGGCCAAACATGGTCTCGGAAAAGAGGTCAAAGGTCAAAGGTCATTTGGGTCAGGGTCATGAAATTTTCAGGGTAGGTGTAAAATTGATCAATGCGAGGGTACTGAAAGTTTCGTCGCGATCGGCCGCTTTTTACGCGAGTTATTCGCGAAAAACCATGGGGGGGGTCCATCCGACCCCCCCCCCCCCTACACATGCGAGGGTTAATGTAACGCGAGATCCGTGGTAAGGTTACACTGAAAGCGGTTCTCCTACACAATAGTGAAACACTCCGAAGCTAGCAAAACACACATATCACTGTTCTTTTAGCCAGAAAACAGAGTAATTTTATACCAAAAAAATGTTCCTTTTGGTACTTTCAATTACACCGTTTTTCCGCTCAATATTTCTGTGTGTGAGGATTACTTCTGAGACTCACTGGCACAAGTTGCCGGTCCCGTAGCTCAATTGGTAGAGCGTTGGACTCCGCGTGGTGAGAGCACGCGTTCCCGGTTACAACAGTCCGGGTTCGAAGCGCGACGGGCGCTTGACATTTATGGGCCTCCTGACAGGTATGGTTGCGGTTGGTGGCAGGCCGTAGCCAGGCGAAGTCAGTGAGGGGACCGGCCGTGCGCGGCTATGTGCGCACGTTAAACTTTGGACTCTAAATTCTGCCATAGAACTGGAGTTACGCGATCGGAGGGTAGAGGGCAGGGTCACCGCAACAAGTTTCGCTTAGCGGTGGCTCTGTCCTTGTGAATCCTTCCTAGCAAAAGGTTCGGACTAAATTTATAAAAAAAAAGTTCATGCACCTGTTAGTGCTGCGGACAAGGAATGTTGTTAATAATCGCCCACTTATAGGAATTTACGTCAGGGGATGGACATTTTTTACGCCCTACAATGAGAGGAGGGATTATTTAAGCTACTCTTCACTCAACATACGTTTGCCATTCGTTTACATGATCTTGGTTTAAGCACGTTCTTTGTAATCTCAGTGCTAGCTATTTTTGTCCTAGATATGCAAAGATAATCATTATCGTTAGAAAAAAATCAAGTAGGTAATCATACATGCTTTCAATTTTAAGTGATACCACTTGCAACATTTCTCTGATAGAATCACTAGATTTTGTTTATTGGTGAGCTTTTCTTATACATCCATTAAATGGAGCTAGCTAATACCCATCACTTATCGTAATTCACCTGCTATCTTTTTTCACCATTTATCCCAAACACTTTATCCCGGTTCATTAAATTATCAAGATTCGATTATTTTGCCAGCATGACGCCTCATTTCCGATCAAGGTCAATGCGGGGCTGGGAGCGTGGCGCGACCTTGACACTGGCGTTGGTCACAGTCGGGCCGGGCCGGTCCCCGGGGATCCATCACGCAGCCGCCAGCCGGTCGGGCTGTCGGCGGCCGGAACGCAGCACTGCTGACCGGGGGACACGCGGCGGACCGACCGGCCGCTGACAGCACCCAGCAGGGGGGGGGGGGGCTGACAGACGGGCCCACCACAGGAGGCGCAGTGTACTCAGAGCACACAGCCAACAGGTGCACACTAAATGCTGGATAGCGAGATAATGAATGAGCCTTGCTGGATACATATCGGGATTTACCGTTAGTAAAGCGATGGATGAAAGCTACACCAACAAGGCCAGGTAGCAATCCAAAGAGGCACCCCAACCTCGGAACACCGCTTGGAGATAAACCCGATAAGTGCAACGAAAAAAACGAGCCGAGTCGTCTGCCTGCCGCAGCACTGGCCGCTCGTTGGCTGGGCTCTGAACGGACGCGCTATGACCGTAGGGAAGTGAGTCGAATCACGCCAGTACCGTGACGCCGGCGCTGATCTATGGCCCGATGGATCATCTCTGCGTCACGATCATATGCCGCCCCGGGCGCGCTGGGCCGTGCTACACGTCAATTTCGAACACCGGTCTGTGGTTCGACGGCTTCTCGACAGAATTGTACGTCATCTGGAGCATTGACGAGTCATGCTGTGAAGATGTGACGCGATCGATTATGTCTCGCAGTTGTGGTTCCTGTCCCTGATGACACTTCACAGCCACTCAGAGACATTCCGCTCTTCAAAAGAATAAACAATTCATACTGAAGCTGAGGCGTGTGAACTGCGATGGCAGCTGGAACGGCGCCGGAGCTATAAATAAAGAAAAAACAGCTTGTAACAATGCAAGCTCTAATCTATAGTCAGAGCCCAGCAGAACTCCATAAGCGCATTGAAACGTTCCCTTCCGACTTTTTGTGTATGAAAATAGCGACTTCTGGATAGGTAGGAAGTACATTAGGCACATTCTGCACCCTATCGTCATATTATAGGGTTTCCTTCATGCCTAAATCACAAGAAAATACAAACTGCATTTTTCTTTTAACCCGCGCCCCGTTGGGCTCTGCCGAGCAACGCGCCCGGTTGGGGGGGGGGGCCATTTTGACCCCCCTAAGATCTCGAGAACCACGCAACATAGCGACAAGCGGTAAACGGCGTTGGATAGCCCCAACGGGGAACTACCTTGTGACCCAATTTTATTGACCTAGGTCAAACTGATGACGTCACAGGTCAGGTCAAAGGTCCAATTTTCACCGTTTACAGGCATTTCAAGAAATGCGTTGTAAAATCGAGTAAAATGCATTTCATTGAAAATAATCGATGGGTTCTTCAAACACATATTTTGCTATTTGAGGTCACTGATACCAGGTCAGGTCACAGAGGTCAGGTCACGAGGGGGTCACAATATGAAAGTGTCGTGTGATACATGTTTTATGGTCCATTTTACATGACAAATGCGATTATGTGGGTCAAGCAGCCTTTGGGGCCAGCTCAGGTCACGTTTTGGTCAAGGTCAGGTCAAGGTCAGGTCAAGGTCAGGTCAAATGAGGTCAAATTTCAAAGTTAATATTTTTGCATGAAGTGGGTATTGAATCGATGCAGCTCGTCACGGGGAGTTCAATGGTGGTCTTTGTTTTGCCGTACGTGGTCTAGAATCGCTAAAAATTGAGTTCAAAAATTTGACGTCATCATTTTTGAACAGTTTTTTCGCTATAACTTGGCTAAAAAAACGAGATATCGATCTGAAATTTGGTATGTATATAGAAGAGCGCTGGGACTATCACATATATTCCGGTTTTTTCGAAATTCGGAAAAATTTTGGATTTTTTTTAGTTTTTCTAAAAACAATCAATTTTTTGATTGTTTTTGGTCAAAAACCAAAAATTTTGAAAATCCGAGATAGCAGTTTTGTAGCGCCGCTTTTTGTCTACTAGACCATATAAAGAACTTTGAAATTGCTTGATAACTGTAGATTTGGTGAGCGTTTCAAGATTGCATGTTTTTTGCTCATTTTTGCTCGAACATGACCTCAGTTTGACCTCAATAACTCCTGACCTAAGGTGACCTAAGACTTCAAATTTGGTGTGAAGGTGTCAAATTGATGCCCGGGAAGGTACTGAAAATTTGGCGGCGCTGCGCGCCGCCGTTTTCCTTGCTATTCAGGAAAAACCACAGGGGGGGGGGGGCAAAATGGCCCCCCCCCCCAACGGGGCGAGGGTTAAAGCTGGTGATGCTCAGCTAAACCAATTGGTAAGTTCATATTGAATTGCATTGGCTTTGTCATGTTTCGCTGTTCACAATCAACAATGCATGATTTGATTTAGCTCGTAAAATTAAAAAGAACGGTCAGAATAACGACATTGTGAAATAAGTTGCACAAAAGACAGTCTACTTTCATCATGACGTTGGTTTCACAGTTGAGTGTTCAATGAGAATGAGGGTAAAAAACCATAATTTTTATGAGTGTCTGTCATGGCCACATTAGTTATGCTAAAACAACAATTCCTGAATCATTACAATGATTCTTAACTATAGTTAGTTTCATTGATTCCTATATAACTGCTCTCTTGTGACCATAAGAACTGCACCGTCCCTGCGGTGCTTGTGTCACGTTAGGCCGACACCGGCCTCTCCCGACCGGGTGAAGTTCTGCCCACAATCCGATCGCCCGATGAGTCCTGTCAGCTTCTCTCTGCGCCGCTACTGCGGACTGCGGACAGGCGTCAGAGAGCTGTCATCTCGGGGGGGGGGGGGGGACGTCGGCCGTGCCCCCCCGGAGGAGCTGCGGCCGCGCGGTGGGGCGGTACCGCGCGCGACGCTGGGCGGTGGGCGCCGGTGGCGGCGGCGCGCGGCGGCCGGGCCGGCCGGGCCGACCCGCCGGTGAACGCTCAGTGTGCGCCGGTGGCTGCCGCTCGCCGCTGCCGCCGCCGCTCACCGTCGGTCGCCGGTCGGCAGTCATGGCCGAGTGCGTGACGCTGCTGCCGGACGTGGTGGCCCAGTACAACGCCACCGTGTGCGGCGGCGCCGAGCAGGGCGACGAGCCCCAGTTCCCCGTCTACGTGCGCGTGCTTGTGACGCTCACGTGCTCCGTGATCCTGACTGTCGGCATCGTCGGCAACGTGCTGGTGCCGCTGGTGATCTGGCGGAACCGCGAGCTGCGCAACTCGACAAACTTTTTCCTGCTGAACCTGAGCCTGGCCGACCTGTGCGTGCTGCTGCTGTGCATGCCGCAGGTGCTGGTGGAGGTGCACACCCGTCCGGAGGTCTGGGTGCTCGGCAAAACGATCTGTGAGTACCGCGCCGCCCACCCCGGCCCGAGTCCATGGGCGCTCGGCACAACATTCTGAGTACCGCGCCGCCCCCTCACCCGATCACCGGACATGGCTCATCGCCTGACCTGCTCACCTGACCTGACCTCACTGGATCTGGCTTTCTCACCTGACCACACCGTATCATATTATCTCACCGGATCCATCATCTCACATAAGTCGCCTTCAGACAGGTCGGCAGCGTAACACGGCCCAGACTTGCGCTTGCCTGACGGGCTCACTCGGCAGTATGGGTTTATAATGCAGCGCCGCGGGGTTTATTTTGCCTTGCGAGTGTTTGAGCTCTTGAGGACGCGCTCTGCCGACCGCAGCGGGCACGGCATTCCCCGGCGAGGTACTGATGGCTTCAGGAGCCCTGGAGAGGCCGCCCGTCAGTTACCAGATTTACTGTTCACTGTTCTAGGAGAACCCCTCCTCGCTGGCCTACGAGTCTATCAGGCTCACTTTTAGTGGCGTCATGTCGCGGCGTAAATGATGGCTCCAATATCAGTAAAACTGAGAAACTTATGGGAGAGGTGCCACATATCACAGAAACTGCCCTGCTCATTTATCACGTCCAACACATTGCCAGGATGACTTGGCAGCTTCACAGCGAGAGGACGCGTATAGGTGGCGCGAACGGTAGGAGAATCGGCGAGTTTTACCATTACCGGTGGTTCCATTGGCTAAGATTTCAGAAATAAAGGTAAAGAAGGTTTTCAGTGGTACACACCTGCAAGGTATAAGCGATAAAGTATAAACATCTATGGTGTCAGGAGCCTTTTATAAATCAACTATACCGCTTCCTTTTATCCGAATATCATTGACTACGTTATACCTGCTCATAAATAAGAGTACTTGGTGCAAAATGTGAAGGGATGCCTTGTCACCACCTAATGATTTATATTTCATTTGTGCTGCTTGTTGTTTAGCGTGACGCAATATTGTCATTTGCCCGATTGATTGAAACATTATTATATACCAACTTGCCGAGTAGCTGTCGGACAATTGTTTCCATCTAAAAGACCCTCAAGTCGAAAACAATCGAGATGCCGATCTATAGCAGCTTCTTTTCTGGTTCTAATTGCGCAATGATGCTGGTTTAGAAAAGCGTGTTTGCTAATATTTGTTTACGTTAGGCTGCTTGAAGATGGTTTTATTGTAATCCTTTTATATTTATTGCATTGGTAATTCGATCTGTGGAAGGACGCGAAGAACTTCTTTTGTGCATGTTCATTTATCATTATTTTTGCAATAGTTGTGCACTTTTGGAAATCACGATTAAGTTACTCGTGAGACAGGCTGCTTTAGACTGTAATTGAACCGAAAATTGTTTTATTATCATGCTCAGCTCCCAGAAGTTTGAGGCCTTATTTGATTGAAACTATTCGTTAATTGATTCCGTAATGACCAAACTGACCGACAAGTCTCCCAGCAACAGATAACTCCTGCAACCATAATTACCTCCCTCACAGATAAGTCATTTCTCGCGGACATTGGAGACGAATCAAAAGGCTGCTACCTTATCCGACATGTCTCTCTCACCACACATAATTTAGTGTTGCGGTTTCTAGTTCCTACGCAGTTGAATTCTGCTTCACCCCACTTTTTAGGTAAACTTTGCACCGCCACAAACTGTAGCGGCGCCCGAAGTTTCGGACGATTCTGTCCCAAACTGCAGCGTTATTTACGCCGGTCGCCTGCTCTATATCGTCACGGTCCCAGCTGTCGGGGCTGTTGGGCCCGTCTGGGGACCGGCCCGCATCGCCGGCCGCGTTCCACTGAGAAGAGACTGCCCTCCGCACTCACAGGTCGCCACGCGGGGACAAAAACGACCGCGGCACGCCGCGCCAGCCGGTGTGCCTCCGCGGCCGGCGGCTGTTTATGTTTGTTTTTGCCGGGGCATGGTCACCGCCGAGAAGTGTTCATTTCCTGACGGAGCGCAATATCTGCATATGGGGCGGCCTGTGCCGACACCCCCGGCAGTGCGATCTCAGCCAGCCCGGCTCCCGTAGGATGGTATCAGGCGGATGACGTCATCAGTCCCATCCCGGCGCGGTGACGGACGCCATTCTCGCGCGGCGACGGGGGACCGCCGTAATGGGCTGTCGCCGTATCGGAAAGGCGGCCAGCGTGCCGCGGCCGAGTCCGCCGGGCGCCGGCTAAACGCGCCATCGAGATTCCTGCGCGAGCCGCGCGCCGTGTCAATACCGCTGTGCGTGGCGCGCGCGCGGCTCATTCTGTCGCGTCGTCGCCGGCGGCGTCATCGTCGACAGTCGGCGACGGCGGAGACGCGTCGGGAACGCGTCGAGGCGGCCGCGAGCCGCCGCTATCGGTACGTCCTGACGGCGGGCCGGGAGGCTGGACGGTTCTGTCTCTCCGCGACCAGCGCAATCGCGGAGGAATGTCGCGCGCGGCGCCGACCGTCTCGCTAGGAGCGGGAGTAATGAATGGTGAGCGGGCTCCCAGGATGGCTGAATAGGACGGCGTGATTGCATAGTTCGGTATCGGTACAAAACAGGGCAGGTGATAAATGGTGGCATTATTGATCACTATTGGCGGGTCAGGGAACAATCTCCGAGCATCGTGTACTTAAAGGAAATAGTTCACTTTCACGAAATTATTTTTTTTGCAACGATTTATGATTTTTTATGTTCAAAATAATCAGCAAAGAAAATAAAACCTTTTTATAACAAAAGATTTTTTTTCTATATTTTGATATAGGAAGAACTTTTCAGTTTCTGTAAGGCACACGCGATCCAGTATGAAAAGAGCATGGGTCCCGAAAATTCTTCAGAAACAGAGAAATTATCGCAGCCACCGGCATTTGGGCGATCTGCTCGATCTGATAATGTTCCCCTGAATGTCCTAATTGATCAGTACGAGAATTTCTCTAGAGTTCTCGTAGATAATCTCTCTAGTTTCTGAAGAATTTTCGGGACCCATGCTCTTTTCATACTGGATGGAAATATATGCAAGGCACACATCCTCACCGCAAGACACCTTTTTCGGGACGAGAAATAGAATATCTTTGCCTAGGGTGATCGTTGGGCTGTAAAAGCTCCTGATTTATGCTCGTCTCAGCCCAAGCTACGGAACTGCTATTCCAGTTCAAAACCCATGTTAAAAAGTGAACTATTTCCTTTAATGAAGCGGTCAGGCTGACCGTCGCATATTGAATTGGATGGCCATGCCGTGTTGGACATTACGCGTGTAAGTGCTGTAAGGCGCTTCTCTACACTTTGATCTTAGCCAAAAGGCCGAGAAGTCGCGTTTATGGACATTTGTATATGTTACAGGCAATGTGTAGAATCAGCCATTCTATAGAATCCCTGACTGCTAAGGCATTCTATAGAATGCCTGGCTTAAGCTCCTAGGCATTCTGTAGAATGCCTAAGTATTTTGATTGTCCGAAACACACTTCGAAATATAGGAGTCAGTGGCAGTAATGCTATTTGTTTACCTAATTTTCTTCGTTGGCCTAGGCCGGTCGTCACCTCACACAGGGCAATGAGTTGAGAGGAAGCGAGGGAGAAATTGGGCTATGCCGACCACCAAATGCATATAATGCCAGCGGATGGCCTACAACTCACTTAGAAAAGACATCTCTTGATCTCTGTAATGATCATTTACTTACGCGCCATTTTCAGTAGCATGTAATGTGCCTTTTCATCTAAGTTCATTAAAAGTTTCTTGATTTCTGGTAAATGGAGTAACAGTTGTATAGTTTAGTTTTAAGCTTTCGCCTTTTATGTGACTTGATCGAAATGAACGAAATTTATTGCAAGTACGTGACTGAATACTTCAAATAATTTAGCATACCGCCTTGAAATCCACCTAATCCTTCATCAACCACTATGCAACTTCCATCTTTCTAACAAAGAGCTCCGAGGAGTTGGCCAATCTGTATGCACATTGGCATATGTAGCTCGCATGCGATTAACGTTGTGGAGCGGGACAGGTGACTTTCTCTGTGGCTCGGCCGGCGAGCCGTGTGTCGTCAGTCTCGGCCGTTAAACATCGGAGGCATGCCTGACATTCCGGTCGCCGAAAAGTCACCACGAGGTTAATCGATTGGCCCGAGGCCAGTCTGCGGCTGCCGACAAACCCCACTTTCATCTATCATGGAAAATGGCAGCCAGCACTTGACTTTCGGCAAAGGTACGGTACGGCAATATTCGAGTGTAGTTGTGTCGCCGAGAGTGTGTGTCAAAGAGTTCGCTGTGCGTTATTCCAAATGGGACGTGATCTGGCTGATAACTGTCCGTTTAAGAGGCTTGCGAGAGTAATTCAATGACACCAGACAATATATCAGAAGATATTCTCATTTTGAGTTTTGGAAGCACGACGAAAAAGACGTGTTTTCTTTATAAATCGCATTTTAGCTGGGTTTGATGTATGGCGCCATCGACCTTTCGCCTCTAGCTCATCAACTGTTTGTTTAGGAGATGAGTCACAAAGGTGAGCGGACACGACTCTCCGGGGCGGCCTCCCAGCGCCCGTTCGCGTTTCGGAAACGTTTCGGTGTGTTTGAAGTTGTTTTGAACGGCGGTGCCCGCTTCCCTTCTAGAACTGCACCGCCGGTGGGCACTACTTCCGGCCGCCGTTTCCACGAGCTGTTCTGGTGGCTGTCGCTAGCCGGGGTGGAGGCAAAAATCGAGATGAGAAGCGTTTTTGATCTGCTAGCTCTTCTATTTATTCAGGCGCTTCTAGTCTGGAAATCAGTGAGTCGTCTGGTCCGTCATGGGCCTTCATGCGTCCTTTTGCCTACATGCGTCTGCTCTGCTACGGTAAATCCAGCGGGTAAAGACGTAGGCCAGTATATTCATAAGCTGTTGAATGGTGTGGGAAAGAGAGATGAATGTAATTGATGGAAAGACCGGCAGCAAAATACATTCAAAATGTTTGCCAGTGCGATGCATTTAGCCCACAAAATTGTACGATGTTCAATGCTCATTGCTCATTGTGTTTTTTTTTGTG